TTTTTTTTAAAAAAAATACTTTCCTCAAACTCACCTCCCCTGAAACGCCTTGGGATCCCTCTCTCTACCTCAATACTGTTTATGTTATGAGCAAAACCGCATGGCCTGGGGTGGGGTGGGGTGTACCTGTTCTTTCTTGCTATTCTGTTTTCTTTTTGGGGAGGAGGGTTGTTCCCTGGACTGTCTTAGACTGCAGTCCTTTGGAATTAAGGTGTTTCCAGCCTGTTGCTTGTAAAATATAAAGAATACAGGTAGTCCTCGACTTACAACCATTTGCTTAGTAACCATTCAAAGTTACTACAGTGCTGAAAAAAAATGAGCACTTTTCACACAACCATTGCAGCATCCCCATGGTCATGTGATCAAAATCCAGATGCTTAGCAACTGGCAGATATGAGGGCTGCGGTGTCCCGGGGTCATGGGATCACCTTTTGTGACCTTCTGACAAGCAAAGTCAGTGGGAAGCCAGATTCATTTAACAACTGTGATTAATAACTTAATCACACATGCAGGGAGTCACTTAAAAACTGTGGCAAGAAAGGACATAAAACAGGGCAAAACTCAGTATCTGTCTTGCTTAGCAGTGGAAATTTGGGATCTGGTCGTAAGTCAAGGACTATCTGTATTACAAAATGAGTAGAGTATTATGCAGACGATGGAAAGCAATTGAAAAACAAAGAATGAAGGATTGCTTCTTTGGCTCTGTCAGCATACCTTATAACAATGGCTATGCTGTCCTGTTTTATATTTGCCCCTTTTGGTTAACTACTTTTTAATGCAGTGGTGGGATTCAAATCATTTAACAACCGGTTCTCTGCCCTAATGACCAGCTGGATAGGAGTGGCTCGGTGGTCATGTGACCGTGTGGGCATGGCCAACCCAACGTCACTCACGTCAACAGACGCTTCCCCTTAGCTGTTACAATGTAATAAGGGTTAACTGGAGAGGCAGTTTTTGTAAGCAGGACAATAAAGATTAGGTTAGAAGCAACACCATAATGTTTCCTTCCTGCCTTCCTTACAGGATTAGCCGCGTAAAGTGGGAAAAAACAAAAGGAGATTTCTTCCAACAACCGGTTCTCTGAACTGCTTAGAACGTTAACAACCAGTTCTCCCGAATAGGTGCAAACTGGCTGAATCCCACCGCTGTTTTAATGCCAGATAAACATCAAGAGCTAGCACTATATTGTGGTCAAAGTGTTGGACCAGAACTAGGGAAGCCCAGGTTCTAATATTTTCTAGCCAAAGAAACCTATTGGGTGATTTTGCATCAGCCACTGTCTCTCAGTTCAACCCATCTCACAAAGTAGCGCTTAGGAATTAAAATTCAAGATGGTCCTACTGTAAGTGAAATAAATATACATAGTTGGAGGACACCAGGATGAAAAAGCTGTTGTCCTTGTGGTACATACCTGAGATAGTCCGAACAAGCTCTTTCTGGGACTCAGAATGTACTAAGGTTATTTCCACAAGAGGTGAAAGTAGAACCTTGATATTGTTATGATGAGGAAAGCTGGAGTAAAGGCAAAACATGTCTAATCCTGCAACTTTATTTCCTGTTATTCCCTTTTCAGCGGGGAAAAGCAGCACGTGGACAAAGTGAGTTGGATTGTGCCAACTCTCTTCTTCCCAGTTTTGCCTTTGTTCCATTAGTTTTCCTCAAGGATGTAGGAGGAAAGCATAGGTCTTGCATGAGGCTCTGCAGACCAAATGGGCCAGGCAGATTAAGCCTGTGGGAGTCAAGAATGTTTGCTTGAGATATTTGTAGCACAGTCTTAAGCCAAATAGTGCAATCGAGTTAATCAGAAATGCTTAGGTAAATAAATCTATGCTATCCACAGAAATTTTAAAAGCCTATTCTGTAATGGGGGGGGGGGGATTTCCTGTGAATGTCAAGCATCAGTCTCAACTCTGTTTGCAAAATGCATGCTTCCAGCTATATCCGCTGGCATCTGTATCTTGAGACTTCTTTGAATAGTTTGCTTGTCAGGATGTATATACAAAAAAATTCTAAGAAGGAAGTCACATTAAAATCACTGTTTTGGTTGAATTTCCTTGGACAAATTGCAGATAATGTTCTTTATTTCCAAATATTACATTTCTATAGAAAAACTAGTGGA